AGAATTTATACTGAAGCGGCTATCTCGTAATGTTATCTCTGATATAAACACTAGCAACAATCGCTACAACGTCGATAACATCCTTAATGTTCAGCAAACTTTCTTAGATTACCAACATGTCCGAAACACAATAACCTGTTGGCAATGTGAATGATCAACCTTGAGTGGATCAACGGTTACCTTGAGTGTGAGATCATCGGAATGTGTCGCAACAGTGCGATGGCTGTTAATCGAGTCAGCAGTAGCTGTTGTGGATGAGGTTCGTCGTTTCGTCCGAGACGCAGTTATCGGCAAAGGTCGCTTCCACGGACAACAGATCACTAACAATATCGCACTCGTATATTGCAAGCAAGTATGAATCTATAACTCGAAATCAGCCTTATTCTTGAATCATTTATCATGTGATTTAGCTGATGAGATTCTATCCAAAACAGTGATCAATTTTTTCGATTCGAAAGCTATTTGAATGACTATCAAAGATGAACAGAAGCCGTGGAAGAATTCCTGGCGAAATTTTTGCTGTGGGAAATATCTTCTAACTGAGAACAACTGGAATCTGGCTGTTTTTTCTGATTAATGGTGTACCCTCTGCCTCTTCCGTTGTGAAACCAGATAGCCTCATATTAGATGCAAATTCAACAATCTCAATATGAAAATCTACACTCTAATGAAAAAGCCCTCTAGTCTGATAGCCGTAGGCTTTTGGCTGTTGAGAGGATCATTTGGTCACATTCACATGAATAAATGCCCATCACTATTAAGATATTGCATCATTAAGGCAAAGGCATAACTGAGTAAAGCTCATTTTCCATAGAGTCTCTTATATCCCATAAGAACACATTTACTTCGATTATTCCAGCAGTTTGCTAATGATGTACCACAGAGATAGCGGAAAATCTTGCGTGAATAGGATTCATGCTGTCTGAACAGATAAACGATTGGATTTACTTAACGAATAACCACGAGAGTGCACAACTGACTGATGTTCAGCGGATGGGAATCAAGTTTCTTTCATTGATCGCATGCTTGTGGAACAAGTTTTTTGTAAGGATACACGACTGGCTCGAATATACTCGCCACGAATACTGCGCAATTATAATGATGAAAATGTTGTTCGATAATAAAACAAGTTGAATAATGATATGAAACCTTTCTCCGTAAAGCGGGCGTTCGAATGGAAACGAGCAAAGGATTGAAGAGTGGATCGGTGAAGGCTGCGATTCTGGCGAATTGAAACCACTTTGCAACGTCTGCGATATCCTCACTATTGCCCAAATAGAAGACGTAAATCTCCATGAACGTTTGACTTGCCACTGAGATGAAATATGCGCCTATTGATAGTGATAATGTGTTGAAGAGTGTCTCACGACGACGTTGAGGTGCTTGCTCCCTTAATTTTGATTACTTTGTTATTATTACTGTTAATTATTTATTACTATTGTTATTATCAGTGTTATTGCTACTGTTATTATTGCCGTTATTATAATTCTTAGTATCATTAGTAATGTTATTATTATAAGCGATCATATCATTGTTACTGATGTTGTTTGAATAATATTATTGCTATCACAATCACTGCTTCCATCCACTGAGATCATTCATATGAAATGATTCATAATATTCACGATTCTCACCATTATAAAGAGTATTTTGTCATTTTATGGAGCAATTATCGCTCATCCTCAGTTTTACCCTAAAAGTCTCAAATTCCCACTCCACCCTTCCTCCTTCTCGAGAAAACCACTAATTTAGATGATGCTTGAGACCCAAAAGGTTAACATCTTCAGTCGTTCAAACTCTAATCAGCTGATTATAAATCAAGAATTTTTGTCATACGAGGATGATCATTACTAGAAATGTCCATTCGTCAAAAACACTCTCTCATCACCATATATTTTGATATTTTCAGAAAGCACAATCATAATCAAGCACAATTATATCAAAAGAACTTTTCAAAGTTATGAAAGAAAGGTGACATTTCCAAAAAGTTACCAAAAAAAGCAATAAGAAATTGAATACTAACCGCACGCCATTTCCAAGTAAATGACGTTGTTTACGCATTCTACAATGACAGATCATTGTGGTCATGAAGATGAATAGTGCTAAAATGAGAAATATTATCGTGAAGAATGTATGACCCCTTAGCAGATACACACCGAAATTATGGAATGGTGCTACACGATCACATCGTTCACCGATTTCTGCATACTCTGAGACGAGTTCACTGAAATATCGAAAAATTTTTTGACATAAATCATGTTACTTAAATTCAAGAAGAATTGAAACTTATTCTATCAAAACGTTCACGCTTCTGATGAAAATTAATTAAATTTTATCAGTTCCATCCCGGCAAAAAATCTACTGAAATTTATATCCGATACTTATTAATATTAATATTTATATTACTACCTTTACCTGATACTTGTTAATATTAATATTAATATTGATATTACTACCTGCACCCGATACTTATTAATATTAATATTAACTTATTAATATTCATTATTTTGTTTTCTATTTGTTTTTCGCTAATATCATAAATCCACTCATCCTTCGTCTATGCTCCCCAATGTTCATTTGGCCTAAAGAAAAGCTAGCGAAACTGCGACAACACGTTAGGCATGGATGAGAGCCATCCAAAGAATTTACATTTGCTCTTTAGAATTTTCGAATTTGATGAAAATAAACAAAACTTTCGGATCTCATAGAGGATGAACTTGTGTCTGTTTGCTCGATTAACGGTCGGAACTAACAATAAGTTAATGGATTTTGAATTATGTCTGTATCCATGCATAATTTTTCGCATTACGTTATCAAAATTCTCAGCGCTGGAGAGGATTAATCAACAAAAAAGGGTTACAGTGGTAAATGAACCTTGTACAACTAAGCGATTGTCTACTGGAAGCCAATCGTGCGAACATATCGTCGATATTATCAATCGCTGTGAAGTGAAGTGACGAGAAAATGATATGTGTAAAGAACAGAAATAGCCATACGAACGAAAAGATCACAACCACACAAGTCTTCGACAGATGGATGGCTTT